TCATTGTTGTAGCTCTCCGGCCACCACGCAACGTTTCTAGACATCTGCAACCACCACCCATGCGCCTGCTCACCTTGTACTATGGCACTGTCCACCCAGGATTCGTCCGCAGCCAGGTACCCACCGCCACCTGTTGACTACGTCCATGGCGATCACCACGGCTGGCAGGTGTTCTACCAAATGCCATTAAGCTTATTTTCAAACTTCATGTCGTTTTTAGAGTACGCAGGGTACTCAAGCATGGTGGATGAGTTGTTGTGTGATGCGTGGTTGGCCATATCTACGGATTTCTTAGGCATGAGCAGAAAGAGGCTCTTCTGGCAGCACGTGCATGATTCATTTCACGCGCGAAAGCACATTGCGTCGTACAACATGCGCATCATCCATGAGCGCAGTGTGAAGCCATTAGCGTATCGATAGTACACCATCCAGACCACCATAACCAAGTTTTGTGGCACGGTTGATCGACTGGAGGCAAGGTGGCCATTGTGCACGACAGCCGTAGGGATTGTGAGGTTTGCTTTATCTTGCTCAAGTTGTTGACTGGTTCGTTCGTTCACTTAATGTTTGTCTACACATTGTGTAGTCTGAAGGCGCTGCCGTGATGTACCACATGACAGAGGCATGAGCATTTACACACATACACTGTTGGATGAATCTCAAAGGGCACTATGTGCGGGACAACATGACTCGTTCATGAAAAACTTATTAAACATCCGGTTAAATCTCATTTAATTTGAACCATTGTTGTAGCAAACTTATTTGCGTGCTATGTACGAATGATTTGTGTAATTTTCTATGCGAACTTTAATAAATTCTGTCATGTTTGATGAATTTCGTTCGGTTAGTTGAAATGTGGTTTGAAATATGTGCGGATACCATTGGATGGTGGCCTCCCACATCCTTGTCCGCGGACTAGCCCCCCGGTCCACGGACGAATGCGGTATCCGGTTTGTGGGTCAGTGTTGGAGGTGCCCTTACATTCATGCATCTAATTCAGATCGTTTCTCTTTTTTCGAGCATCAACAACTTTATTCCTCATATAATAGAGATATCGTTTACAACTTGAGAAAGAATAAAACCGGGTGTAGTAGGAGCATCTACAGTCGGGCGCCCCAAACCCGCCTCAAACGCCCGGGCGGACGGCTCGGTCACTGGCGTGTCACAAAAATCCGACCCAGACGAGCGCCTCAAACGGGGCTCAAACGTCCGGGCTGACCGGCACTCTTCATATCTAGCGCAAATATGGGGTGGATATGGGGCGCCCGGATGCATCCGCGACGTCATACTGACGATGGGGTCCCACACAAAATTGCCCGAAAACCCGGTGGTTCCACAAACGTCTCCTCCGGTGGCGTGTGTGAACACCGTGACGCCGCTCTGGCTCGCCGCCCGAGGCCAAATCCGGCTATTTAAGCCGGTCGGCGTCCCCCAACCCTAGCCACATACACCCCTCTCCCTTTCCGCGTTGCTAGCCCGAGCCCATCCACTTCTCTCCCGCACCGCCACTCTTCTCACGCCCTCCGGCTTCGCCATGGTTCGCCAGAGCACCGGTTCCAGATTGAGTAGGAGATCCGGGCGAGGCGCGCTGCGTGCGTCGCCCACAACACTAATGGCCTGCCTCCGGACTCGCCAGAGTCGGAGGAGGAGAAGCAGGCAAAGCAGGAGGAGGAAGAAGAGCAATAGCCGGCTGCGATGGAGGTGGTGGTCCGAAGGAGGTAGAAGCGAAGATGTAGGCGGAGGCTGGCGTGAAGAAACTGGAGGAGCTGCAGGAGGTGGAATTCCGGCTGGCGCCCATGTACCCGGAGCCGGGCACGGATATAGTAGACATCTCCGATGAGGATTAGGGTAGATGATCAACGTAGTACATGGACTTTATCCTTTTCATGTTTTTGCATGGATCTAAAGTTTGTACTATAAGGTATCCAGATGTAGAGGAGCAAATTTGAGGTGTGACCGATCACTGTTTGCGGATGCAGCATTTGATAGGTCGGATTTGCTGTCCGCGGTTGTAGATGCTCTAGTCTCCTAGAATTCAGACGAGCTAGACATAAAGGTGTGTTTGGCTAAACTATCTCTTCGGCCCCATGTTTAAATCCTGGCTCGGCACATACATGTCCTAGGATCCTAAGGTGGAACACACACGTACGCCGGGTTTAGAGCAGAGGTCGGTCATGAGGAACAAATCTCGTCAAGATTCAGAGGTTACGATGTTGGCGCCGCCTCCTCGCAGCGCTGTTTTTCTTCCTCTCATCTCTCATGAACACATACTATGGAGAAACTCTACACAGACACACACACACAATCAAGAAGAAGACCGACTGTTACTTTGCACGAGAGGCCCTTCTCCTTGGTGGAACAAGAGACTACATTGTGTTTTTCCCAGCCCTCTTGGCTCTTCCTTTTCATTGCTCCAATACAACACTTATATACAAAGGACCCAGCCACCTATGTCATGCACTCACGCACACGCACCACTAACAGCATGCAGCGCTGCCCACTATTCCTCAATGGCCGCATACAACCCGGCCGAGTCCAGCTACCAACTCAAGCATGTAAACTAACTCAGCCTATTCTCTTGACTAATACTTATCTTCACTACCATGCATCTCTAGTACTAACGTGACATGCAACACACCCATCACGGCACACTTGGACGTGCACAACACATGTCAAGATTAATCCTAACATTCTCCCCCTTAATCTTGACTTACCGTCGCTGGAGTTGCTGCCGCTCCTGTCATTGTCGTCGTCACGGCCGTGACCCAGCCCGCGGACCCGACCTGACGCACCAACGCCGGTCTCCGTCACGACCCGGCGACATACGCCGAGCTCCATCTCCGCCGGCAACACATGCCTGGCGTCCCTCCGCGCCCCGCACGTCCCGCGCGCAACCAACGCGCCGATGAGCCCGACCGCACCAGTGCGTCCCGCACGTCCCGCGCGCATCCGATGCGCCCGACGAGCCCAACAGCACCAGATGCTCACCGCGTGCCGCCTCCGCGTCCGCCATGGCAGCCGCCACGCCGCGCCTACGTGTCACGCACCTTCCACGATTGTCGCCCCGAGCCATCGCGACCTCTGCGCCACCACGCAGGTCCTTCGCGACCTCCTCGTCTCCGCGACCGTCGTGCCCTTCGCGCGCACTCCCCACGTCCCCGCGCTCCTGGCCCGCGCTCCCGCCGCGCACGTACGCGATCTGCGCAACCAGGTCCAGCGCCTCGACGCGGTCCATTCCTGCGGTCCAACGCGCCCGACGTGTCCAGTGCGCACCCATAACACGCACCGGTCGCGCCTGGCTCGCCGCCGCATCTTATTGCCCTGCACCGCCGCGGCCTCCATGCCGCCATGCAGTGCCTCCACGCCGCCACACCGTGTTGCACCGCTGCGCCACCACGCAGCGCCTCGGCGGCCTCCGCGGTCGCCGCACGTACGACGTCACCGCCCGCCGCCTCCGCCACGCGCTCGCCGCGCGCCGCAGCCGATGCCTCCATGTCGGCCGCGCATGCCCCGTCCGCCGCGGACGCCACCGCGCGCCACGGCCGCCCCTCGAACCTTGTGGCTCTGAATACCAAATGTTGGCGCCGCCTCCTCGCAGCGCCGTTCTTCTTCCTCTCATCTCTCATGAACACACACCATGGAGAAACTCTACACACACACACACACAACCAAGAAGAACACCGGCTGTTACTTTGCACGAGAGGCCCTTCTCCTTGGTGGAACAAGAGACTACATTGTGTTTTTCCCAGCCCTCTTGGCTCTTCCTTTTCATTGCTCCAATACAGCACTTATATGCAAAGGACCCAGCCACCTATGTCATGCACTCACGCACACGCACCACTAACAGCATGCAGCGCTGCCCACTATTCCTCAACGGCCGCATACAACCCGGCCGAGTCCAGCTACCAACTCATGCATGCAAACTAACTCAGCCTATTCTCTTGACTAATACTTATCTTCACTACCATGCATCTCTAGTACTAACGTGACATGCAACACACCCATCACGGCACACTTGGACGTGCACAACACATGTCAAGATTAATCCTAACATACGACAGCATCTCATCAAGAATTTTGACACGCAGCTCGAGGACCAAAAGGCGTGCATTTTTGAATCAAAAGGGAAAGGGAATGATTCCTTTTAGACGCATGCCTTTTGATGCAGCGAGTGCCTGACCCCGGCCGTCTAAAAAGCTCACCCAGCCCAAGCCTGAAACCTGACCCGGCCGAGTGGGCTCAAACACTGCACGAACCATCGGCATCGGCATCGGCATCGGCATTGCCACGACACCACACGTCTCCTCGATCATTACAACTCAAACAGTTGATTAACCATGCATTGCATGCTTTCTTTCCCTCTGTTTTGCTTCCCTAGCTACGACGACGACGACGACGACGACCAGAAAGTGTGCAATGATTAAGCCATGATTTTTGCCCTCTCTTCTTCCTTTCTCCTCGATCGATCCCGGCCCTTTTCGGTAGGGTTTTGCATGCACAAAGAAAAGGCCTTTCTCTTTCAAAGAGGCCATAATTACGACTTAGAAAGTTGTCATGATGATGTTTGGATCGGAACTTAGAAAGCACACACGCCCGCTGGAAAAGCTTTGCTTCACGCGTCTACATGCTTGCCACATGAAAAGATGGAGACAACGACGACTAATTAAACTGATCAAAAGGAGGAGCAAAAAACTTTCCAAGGCATCGCTCCTTTTCTGCTGCTCGCTCATAGAGTCTCTAATAAAATTTGTAAAAGCACGTAGCCGGATGCATGCATGCAAAATTATTCATCAATCAAACAGAAGGAGAAGAAGAAGAAGAAGAAGAAGAAAAAAAAAGGTGAAGACGACGACATTATGATTAATTTCATCGACCGACATGATCATCCCTAATCAGTAGCTAATGATGATGGATCGATCTATCTTCTGATCGATGCATGGTCTTACATTGGGCACAACACATGAAAACACTTGCGTACGTGCATGTCCCTCATCAATAATCTATCTAAACCGGCTGCTTATGAAAGCCTCCTCTCCTCCTCTTCCTAGGGTTTCGCCGGCTCCTGTCGCCGGGAAGGCGAAGGCCGGCATATTGTTGTAGCTCATCATTGGCGCCATGCCTGTGTTCGATATGGCATTTGCGCCGTAATTCCGGCGGTCCAGGGTTTGCAGCTCCCTGATCTGTGACTTGAGGAAGCGGAGGTAGTTGGCGGCCTCGTCCAGCATGGAGGCCGTGTCCATCTTGGCGCCTCCCGGGACGAGCTTCTGCAGCACGCGCAGCCGCTCGCTGATGCGCTCCCGCCGCTGGCGCGCCGCCACCGTCTGCGGGTCGGACGAGATGCGCACGTTGCGCCTGCTTGGCCGCTCGCCGGTGTCTTCCTCCTCGGCGCCGAGGCTCAACGGCCGCATCGCCGCCGCGCGGTAGATCATCTCCTTCACCTGCGCCAGGGCCTCCGTGTCCGGTTCGTACTGGGGGACGTCGTCGCAGCCGTTGTTGACGGAGCTTCTGCCGTCAAAGCTGATGCTGGACGAGGTGCTGCTCAGCGACGGCTTGGTGCGCTTGGAGGACGGCGCAGCACCGCCGCCGCTGCTGAACGCAATCTGAATGCCGCGATCCCCGGTGTTGGTGGACGCGAGGAGGCTGCAGAGAGGGTTCTCCTGCGAGTGCCCGTCGGCGGCCGGGCATGGTGCATCGGCGGCCCTCCTCTTTCTACTTGACCGGCGTTGCCTTTTGGCACAACCGTTGGCTTCGTCCCACTGCCTCGTCATCCCTGCTATTACCGCCGATGCCGGCGCGTTATTGCCGGAGTCAAAGACCGCCGCATCGGCGACGCCGGCGCGGTCAACGGCGGCAGCCGCGCCTTTTGGGAAGGAAGGTGCCGCAGGTACAGTAGCCAACGTGACTGCTCGTGCTGCTGGTACGAGGTCGTAGTCGACAGGCATCCCCATCACGCCCTGATGGCGATGTTGATGCTGCTGTCGCTGCAGGACAACCCCGTCAACCTCAGCGTAGGCAGGCGTGACGGGTCCCGTTCCCGTAGCGCCGAATGCGAGGCTGGCCGCCTCGATGCCGCCGGCCATCGGCTTGCCACCTCCGCATGGCACCTGGATGCCCTGCAGCTCCATGATCGCGGCCGCGAGCGCCTCGTCCAGCACCAGCCTCTCCAGCACCGACATGCCGCTCCCGTCCACAACATTAACGACATCACCGGCCGCGCCACCGTCTCCACCGCCGCTGTTCCACGCGCTCTCGCTTAGGATCATGTCGTTGCAGAAGCCAGGATCCATCTTGCCACCTACTAATAAGAAATCGGATATGAGCTATATATCCAAGTACGTAGATAGCGAGGCTCTGATCTGTCTGAGGCCGATCCGATGAAGCGCATGCAACTACCGACCCAGCAACATGCATATGCACAGATGAGCGCATCGATCAAATGGCGCGTACCTTTAATTAATGGGACGCAAGTAAGCTGAGGAAGAGGGGAGCACTCTGCCGCTGGTGGTGGTGATGGTAGGCTGGCTCGTGTGTTGATATATTGGAGCAACAGAGGGAGCATTCGCGCATTAAACGCTAGCTCGCTGGAGGAGGAAGATGCTAATGGCGCAATAAGACAAGATGCCTGCAGTGTTGAAGCTACTTTTAGGGCCCTGCCTGCGCGCAGCGTGTGTGTGTGTGTGGTGTGCTCTCTCTAGCAAAAGGCTGCAGGCCGGAGGGGAAAGCAAGCAGGCTCTTATAAAGAGGCAGGCCAAAGAATAGATGGTTGCACCTATGGCTTATGGTGGTGTACTGTACTGTCTAGTACATACACTTGTATACTTTTTTTTTGCCAAACATACACTTGTATACTTGTTACTACTAGTACACACTACACAGCACACTACCTCATCGATGGTCCTCACGCTTGACACACTGTGTGTGCAGTGCAACGATGCACACATCTAGCTATAGCCACAGCTAGCTACTGCCTATTATCACTCACTATGGTATGCCTATCATATTAATGCTCTTGATTGTGTGGGTTCTGAAATATATAAGCTTGCTAACATGCCTAGGGCTTTTAGTACTTACCGGATAGCAGGGTACTGCTCTCTTCTCATATGCCTTGGGCTGTGTAGGCAGGGGGTAGGGCTCAGTTATACAAGTACTACCAGTACATCAGTAATTTAAAATTTTATCTAGAGGTAAGTTGCCGGGTTTTAGAATTTGGGTCAGTCAGAAGGAAGCATGCCGGGGTGAGCGTAGCGAGGACCGAGGCGCCGGTAAGGCATCGGCCAGGAAGGAGTCATACCCGGCGACATGCAGGAGGAGGCGAGTCCAAAGGTTGACGGTATGGGGAGCGAGGGGGTATCTCAGTAAGAAATTTTGATGGTTCACCAGTTTAGAAGCATCGCCGGGGCTGGGGCTAGCGCGGCGGCAAGTGGTGGTGAGGGGAGGGCGGGGCGGCGAGGCTGGCGCGAAAGCGCTGCCGGCCGCAGGCAATAGAGGCAGGCGGTTAGGCAGGTGGTCCTGGCAAGTCTTGGGGAAGAAGATGAACAAGGAGATCGGGAGGCTGAAGAATACCACTCTTGACCACCGTTATTTTTTGCATCGGACCGTCTAGAACTAATAGACTAATTTAATTTATTTATTCCAGTCGGCCGACTCCTAGTCAGTACTCCTTTCGTCTCAAAAATAAGTGTTTTTACTTTGTATCAAGTATTAACTTTAGTACAAAGTTGTATTAAAATTGAGACACTTATTTTGAAACGGAGGGAGTATAGTACTTGTGTAAAGCATTCCAATCCTATTATCTAGGGTGAGAGATTTCTTTGGATTACTTCAATTGACATCTGAGGAGGGAGAAACTAAAATAAGTATTTCACTAATTACTTGCTAGCTGCATCTGGGTGCTATGGTTTGATTATGATCAAGTGTGAGAAAGAGATATAGGAGATCAGTGACTGGGCTGGCTTTGAGCTCATGAGCACCACTGCCCCTTGTCGTCTGCCCATAAACTACACGCAGGCATGTGTGCATATGTGTGCAGTGCATGCATTACTTGCTCCTGGCTTAGCCAGCCTAGAAGTGACCTTGTAGTAGTAACTGTCAGGAGAGCAAAAAGATTTTCACTTTTACTGGCAGCTTTAACTTTGGGGACTTTCATGCATACATGTATGCTAGCAGCAGCTAGTGTATGTGGAGCTCTATGTGGAGTGTATTGGTAGAGTAGTAAGGAGTACATACATGTAGCTAGCCAGCTATATCAAAGACCTCTGGCCTGTTAGCCTAAATCATGGCGTAGTCAAGATCTTTGACAAAGTTCTCGCCTCTCGGCTCACTGACGACTTGCCGCACCTGGTGGGCAATCATCAAAGCGCCTTAGTGCGTGGACGATCTCTGCATGACAATTTCATGCTCGTGCAAGGCACGACATCTAGACTGCACGCTCTTAAGGATCCAACGGTTCTTATGAAGCTTGACATGAGCAAGGCCTTCGACTCTGTGCAATGGCCTTTTCTTCTGGAAGTATTGAGACAGATGGGCTTCGGACCAAGGTGGATCTCATGGATCTGTGGATTACTTGCGACATCATCAACCAAGATTGATGTCAATGGAATCCCCGGAGAAACAATTTTCAACTGTCAAGGGCTGCGTCAAGGAAGTCCGCTTTCACCCATGATTTTCATTTTATGCATGGAACCCCTACGCCGTTTGTTTGAGTATGCCACGGCAGCTGGACTACTTGCCCCTTTGGCCCGGACGGGACTGCGACACCGGGTCTCCATGTATGCAGACGACGCAATGATTTTTCTGAAACCAAAGGAGCTGGATCTTCAAGCGTGTGCTGCCATTTTGGACCTGTTTGGACAGGCATCGGGGTTCAAGATCAACCTTCAGAAAAGTTCTGCTCTACCGATCAGATGCATGCAAGAACACATGCAGCTGGTGTCCGGGCTGCTGGGATGCGCCAATGCAAATTTCCTTTGTCGCTATGTCGGGCTACCACTGTCCATTCGGAAGCAGACAGCTGTGCATTTTCAAGACCTGGTAGACCAAATTGCAGCGCGCCTGCCATCATGGAAGGCGGCTTCCCTACCGAAGAGCAGCCGGGTGCTACTGATCCAGTCGGTCCTTTGTGCAATCCCGGTGCACTCGATGATAGCCATGGGTCTGCCTCCGAAAACGATCAAGGCGATCATCAAGATTTGCAGAATTTTCTCGTGGTTTGGAAAGGAGGAAGCAAGAGGAGGTAAATGCATTGCTTGGGAGACTCTCTGTCGACCAAAGTGGGCAGGTGGCCTTGGTGTCCCCAACCTAAGGTGGATGAATGTGGCTTTGCAACCTAAATGGCTATGGTTGCAGCGGACAGACCCGTCTAGACCATGGGTGTGACGCCCCCGATTCAATCGTACACTAATCATGCACGCAAACGTGTACGATCAAGATCAGGGACTCACGGGAAGATATCACAACACAACTCTAAAACATAAATAATTCATACAAGCATCATAATACAAGCCAGGGGCCTCGAGGGCTCGAATACAAGTGCTCGATCATAGACGAGTCAGCGGAAGCAACAATATCTGAGAACAGACATAAGTAAACAAGTAGCCATAGATGGCTAACACAAACTGGGACACAGATCGAAAGAGGCGCAAGCCTCCTGCCTGGGATCCTCCTAACTACTCCTGGTCGTCGTCAGCGGGCAGCACGTAGTAGTAGGCACCTCCGGTGTAGTAGGAGTCATCGTCGACGGTGGTGTCTGGCTCCAGGGCTCCAGAATCTGGTTGCGACAACCAGAAAGAAAGGAAAGGGGGAAAAAGGGGGGAGAAGCAACCGTGAGTACTCATCCAAAGTACTCGCAAGCAAGGATCTATACTACATATGCATGGATATATGTGTAAAGGGCCATATCGGTGGACTGAACTGCAGAATGCCAGAATAAGAGGGGGATAGCTAATCCTGTCGAAGACTACGCTTCTGGCAGCCTCCGTCTTGCAGCATGTAGAAGAGAGTAGATTGAAGTCCTCCAATTAGCATCTCCAAGTAGCATCTCCAGTAGCATCGCATAGCATAATCCTACCCGGCGATCCTCCCCTCGTCGCCCTGTGGAAAAGCGATCACCGGGTTGTCTGTGGAACTTGGAAGGGTGTGTTTTATTAAGTATCCGGTTCTAGTTGTCATAAGGTCAAGGTACAACTCCAAGTCGTCCTGTTACCGAAGATCACGGCTATTCGAATAGATTAACTTCCCTGCAGGGGTGCACCAACTTACCCAACACGCTTGATCCCATTTGGCCGGACACACTTTCCTGGGTCATGCCCGGCCTCGGAAGATCAACACGTCGCAGCCCCACCTAGGCAAAACAGAGAGGCCAACACGCCGGTCTAAACCTAAGCGCACAGGGGTCTGGGCCCATCGCTCATAGCACACCTGCATGTTGCGTACGCGGTCGAAAGCAGAACTAGCCCCCTTAATACAAGAGCAGGCTTACGTTCCAATCCGGCACGCGCCACTCAGTCGCTGGCGTCACGAAGTGCTTCGGCTGATACCACGACGTCGGGATACCCATAACTACTCCCGCGTAGATGGTTAGTGCATATAGGCTCGTAGCCAACTCAGATCAAATACCAAGATCTCGTTAAGCGTGTTAAGTATCTGCGAACGCCGAACAGGGCCAGGCCCACCTCTCTCCTAGGCAGTCTCAACCTGCCCTGTCGCTCCGCCACAAAGATCCACTCGCGGGTGCTCCACCAGCCGACCCGACTTTAGTCTCCACATGTATCATGTAGAAAGTATATAGTATATACCCATGATCACCTCCCGAGTGATCATGGCCCGATAGTATAGCACAGCAGATGGACAAGAATGTAGGGCCACAGATGAAAAATACTAGCATCCTATGCTAAGCATGTAGGATTGCGGGTAAGGTATCAATGACTGTAGCAACAATGACAGGCTATGCATCAGAATAGGATTAACGGAAAGCAGTAACATGCTACACTACTCTAATGCAAGCAGTATAGAGGAGAATAGGCGATATCTGGTGATCAAGGGGGGGGGGCTTGCCTGGTTGCTCTGGCAAGAGAGAGGGGTCGTCGGTGATGTAGTCGACCACAGGGGCATCAGCATCGTCACGGGGTCTACCGGAGAGAAGAGGGGGGAGAAACAGTAAATACATAGCAAGCAAGTGCATAACAGGACAACAAGCAGAGCTAGACGTGTTCTAACGCGGTAGTAGGTGATACCGACGAAGGGGGAAAGCATCCGGGAAAGTATTCCCGGTGTTTCGTGTTTTCGGACAGATGAACCGGAGGGGGAAAGTTGCGTGTTTGATATGTTAGGGGTCTGTGGTGGACGAACGGGCTGCGAATCCGGAATCGTCTCGTCGTTCTGAGCAACTTTCATGTAGAAAGTATTTTCATCTGAGCTATGGTTTATTCTCTATTAATTTTAAAAGATTTAAATCATTTTCAGGATTTATTTAATTATTTTAATGCAACATTATCCAGAACAGTGATTGCTGATGTCAGCATGATGTCAGCATGATGTCAGCAGTCAATAGAGGTTGACTGA